CCTGGCCCCACTTCTCTGTAAGAGTTGTGCAGTTGGTTACTGTCTTCGCTGTCCCGATTACCGTCACCGCTGCAACACTCCAGGTCTTTGCACATGTCATTATAATACTTTACTTTGTCTTCTCGAATCACTCTTTGAAATCTTTTGTTCAACTCTTTTACTTCATCATTTCTTCCATTTGCTTTAGCTACTCGACATTCAAGAGAAAGTTCCAGAGTCTCCTCTGACATCCATTTTGGTCTTTTCTCTTTCCTGTCTTTTTAATGACTTCTTGCTTTCTTCATGTATGATGTCCTTGATGTCATTCCACCATTCTTCTTGTCTTCCGTCATTAGTGTTCGACATGTCAAATCTATTCTTGAGACGGTCTCTAAATTCAGGTGGGATATACTCAAGGTCATACTTTGGCTCTCGTGGACTTATTCTAATTTTCTTCAGCTTCAACTTGAACTTGCATATGAGCAATTGATGGTCTGTTCCACAGTTGGCCCCTGGCCTTGTCCTGACTGATGATATTGAGCTTTTCATCATCTCTTTCCACATATGTAGTTGATTTGATTCCCATGTATTCCATCCGGCGAGGTCCACATGTATAGTTGCCATTTATGATGTTGAAAAAAGGTATTTGCAATGAAGAAGTCATTGGTCTTCCAAAATTCTATCACGCGATCTCCGGCATCGTTTCTATTACCCAGGCTGTATTTTCCAACTACCGAATTTTCTTGTTTTCAACTTTCACATTCCAATCGCCAGTAATTATCAATGCATCCTGATTGCATGCTTGATCAATTTCAGACTGCAGAAGTTGGTAAAAATCTTCAATTTCTTCATCTTTGGCCTTAGTGGTTGGTGTCCAAATTTGAAGAACAATCGTATTAACTGGTCTTCCTTGTAAGCATATGGATATTATCCTATCACTGACAGCGCTGTACTTCAGGACAGATCTTGAAATGTTCTTTTTGATGATGAATGCAACGCCATTCCTATTCAAGTTGTCATTCCCAGCATGACATATGATCTTCTGATTTAAAATGACTAATACCTATCCATTTCAGCTCACTAATGCCTAAGATATCAATCTTTATGCATTCCATTTCATTTTTGACAATTTCCAATTTTCCGAGATTCATATTTCATACATTCCACGTTCTGATTATTAACGGACGCTTGCAGCTGTTTCGTCTCATTTTGAGTTGTACCACATCAGCAAATGAAGGTTCCTGAAAGCTTGACTCCATCCATGTCATTAAGGTCAACTCTACTTTTAGGCAGCAGCTCCTCCCTAGTTGTCTTTTGAGTGCCTTCCAACCTGAGGGGCTTAACCTCTGGCACTATATCAGACAATGTTCCGCTACTATTCATAAGATTTTCACTGGCTAATTCTTTTCAGAAGTAGCCACCAGGTCCTTTCTCCTAGAAAGGACTATAAAGATTACAGCCAAGAAAACTCTATGGGGCAACTCTATTCTGTCATATGGGGTCACTAAGAGTTGGAACTGACTCGACGTCATCTAACAACAAGAATAAGTTTAGAGAGGAAGCAGGAGTCAGATCACAAAGGGCTCTGTGAGCCCTTTTACAGAATTTTAAATTATGCTCAGGGCAAAGATAAGCCCTGGGTTTGAACACAGAATTGAAAATTATGTTTTCTTTGACTTTGTGCTGACCACGTGGGATTCAACAGTGGTTTCCAGGCAAAGGTGCACATTAGAATCACCTGGAGTGATCAGCATCACTTTAGGCCTCTCAATCAGCATCTCCAGCTCATGCATGTGTGTGTTTATAGTTTCACAGGCTTGTGTGTACTAACTTCTGGTTGAGAAACAGCAGACTGAAAGAAAAGCTGTCTGGAGTCCTAGCATAGTTGTTTTGAGCACATGGAAGTGGCATCATGAGAAGTCTTGGGACAAATTCCAGGGCAAGCGAAGGACATGCTGTTGGAGCCACTCCAATTGTGTGAGGTATTGGAACAAGCCTGCTAATGACAATCAACTCACCTGGGTGTCCTGGAGCCATAGGGACTGCAGGTGGGTAAGGTTCAGCTTCTTACTGCTACCCCCAGTCTTGACCACCTGCTGCCCCACAAAAGGGGAGACCAACTGGTGAAATTTCCTCACAGATGGACCTTCTGGCATCCCTGCAGGCAGAAATGGGGGAAAAAGGTCACTGACTTAGTTTTTCTCTGGCATTTCTGACAGGTGCCAAGGTCCAAGCTTTTAAGCAGCTTTTTTTTTTGCCACCAACTTACAAAGTACATATGATCAGGAAAGGAAGGTGGGGTCAGATATAAAGAAGGACAGAGCTGTGGCAGGGTGTGGGTCAGCTTTCTAGAAGTACTTAGTGAATGATTTCCCTTTCCAATCCTCTCTTGCCTTTCTTCTTTCAGCAAATACTTATTAAACACCAACAATGTGCGAGGCCTCATATAATGGGTGCCCTCTGCTTCAATCCCATGGCAGCTGCTACCACAGGAGTGCTTGTTACTTTTTGCCTGGACTGCTGGGCCCCTAACTCCAGGCCTTCTCTATCTCCCACACTCCTCCAACAACCATTGCAACCCACTGCTGCTGATGTATTTTCCCCCTTTAAAAGGAGAGATGATCATGGCAGAGAAGGATGTAAGAGACACAAAGACACAGACCTGGATACTGCTCTCCTAGTACTGCTCCTTTAGTAGGGAAGATGGCATGTGTATGTGATGACTACGATACAGAACAAGCTCAGAATCATGACAAGTACAGAGAGATTGCAGGTGAAGTCAGTTCAGAGCAGGGAAACTCCCTGCAAATGAAATGCTGCCTGGTCCTGCACCATCCCCATTATGGGTTACAGATAGGGCTGTTGTGAACCAACAGGCTTTCATTGGCTAATTTTCAGAAGTAGATCACCAGGCCTATCTTCCTAGCCCATCTTAGTCTGAAAGCTCTGCTGAAACCTGTTCAGCGTCATAGCAACACCCAAGCCTCCGCTGACAGATTGGTGGTGGCTGCACTTCGGGTACATTGGCTAGGAATTGAATCCGAGTCTTCCACGTGGAAGGTGAGAATTCTACCACTAAACCACCACTGCCCCCACCACCTCCAGCTTAAATAGTTAATGATCTCTGAATAAGAAGTAGCTGTGGTTCTGTTTTAACCCCAGTTCAGGGTTAACTGTGACCCCTTCTCTGCCCTGCCCCAAATCATCCAAAAGTTGACTATATAGAGCATTCAGGTTTGAGTCTGAATGGTTTTCACTTTGGCTTTTCTGGCACATAAGGAGTGTGACTGCTGGAGTCAGGTAGACCTGGTCTGGAGCACAGCTTACCCAGGGCACATTACCTAAACACCTGTTTTCTCATCAGCCCAAGACTCTCTATAGTTATGGTGAAAAGTAAATAAACTAAGTAGGAACCTGGCATGGTGATAACTGTTGTATTTCAGCAATTCTAAAAAATAATATTTAAAAAAAATTTTTTTAAATCTCTGAAATTGGGGTGCCTCTTACAATCCCTAGATTCTCACTGTGTAATTGGAAGCTTTTTTTCTTTCTTATTGGCACATTTAACAATAAACCAGTCAATTCTGACTCATGGCAACCCCATGTGTTACAGAGGAGAACTGCTGCACAGAGTTTTCATGCCAGTAATCTTTAAGGGGCCCTGGTGGCGCAGTAGTTAAGCGCTCAGCTGCGAATCAAAAGGTTGGTAGTTTGAACCCACCAGCTCCTCCACAGCAGAAAGATGTGGCAGTCTGCTTCTGTAAAGATTACAGCCTTGGAAACCTTACGGGGTAGTTCTACTTTTTCCTACAGAGTCACTAGGAGTCAGAATCAACTGGATGGCAATGGGTAATTTTTATGGAAGCAGATCACCAGGGCTTTCTTCCCTGGCACCGCTAGGTGAGTTCCAACCACCAACCTTCAGGTTTGCAGCTGAGAGCAAACCATTTGCATCACCGACACATTAAATTTGATGGTGCTTCAGATTCACTGAAATATAGTATTATTTCCTCTAAGCAGATCTTCAAGACACTCTAGAAGGTACTGTGATAAAGCTGCTGAGCTGGAAGGAGCCTTGGGAGACCACAGGGACCTTCACTAGTTCTCTGCACCTAGATCACCTCCAACAGAAGCTTTTGGAAAAGCCTCCCTCTGAAATGCACCTAATCCTTAAATTCTCTAGACACACATGGGCATGTTTCTTTCAGGTATATTGACAGAGATGGAGAACTGGGCAGCAAGTTGCAGCCACAATAGCCTTAATAGATTATAACTGGAAGGGGCATTGTAGATTCATGAAGAAATCATGACCACTCTCATGGCCTACCACCTAACCCCCCCCACCGCGAGGTGGTTAAAAGTGTCTTGTAAGGTTGTTGGCTGGTAAATGGTCTTGCTAGTGGACCACACTGAAAACAGGATAGACGGTTGTCACCCTTTCCAAAGGCATTAGCTAAAATGGCTGCTTCTCTCAGCTCTTGGGGCGGGGGAGGAGAAGAGGGCAGGGGGAGGGGAGAGACGGAGAGGTCTCAGGGTCTCTGGGGGCGCCTCTCAGGGAAAATGCAGGCAAGATGGTAGCAAACAGAAAGAAAAAAAAGATCGAGAAGGCGTGCGGGTGTCCGTAAAGGGTCTTTCTTTTCTGTAATTGAGTTTTCACGTCGGAAAAAAATGATGATGACCACGTGCACGCTCTCTAGTTCACAGGCTGCCATAAGAATTGGAAACGCGCCAAAGGACGCCCCGGACCCGCGCCTGCCCTTCCTCTCTTCTGCCCCTCAACCAGGGCGGCGGCCCCATGGGCCGCGAGCTCAGGGATAGGCGACGGGAGCGGGCAGAGGCTGGCCCTGCCTGGCAGCGCTTCTGCCCGCGCAGGAACCAGGGCCGCCGAGGTTGCGGCAGGCTGCGAACTCACCGGCTCCCTGAAGGCGGCCGCTGTGCCCGCTCCAGGGGACTACGACGTCTCTGGTGTTGGGCGCAGAGGGATCGCTGACCGCCACGTAGGCTCCTGGGCTGGAATGGGCGCGGAGATCCGCCCTTGAGGTGATGCGCTGGAGGCGGGGCCTCGGCGCAGGGTGGAACTGAAGACAGGCGAGGGAGAGGGGCGGAGAGAGACTGAGGCTGAACAGCTGCGGAAGAGGTAAGAGGCTCATGGAAGAAGTTGAGGAGACACAGAGAAAAAGTTCTAAGGTTGTATCCTTCCTTTCCTGGCGCAAGTTCGAGGCCTGGAGCACGCTCTCCCTGCCCTGTGGCAGTACTGACTTAACTGCTCTCCCTTTACCCTGCTAATTAATCCTCCAGGTGCCTCTGTGTGAGGACGCTGGGTAGCACAAATGGTTTGCTCTCGGCTATGGCACAAATGTTTAGGCGCTGGACTACTAGCGGAAAGGTTGGCGGTTTGAGTCTACCCAGAGGCACCTCAGAAGACAGGCCTGGCGATCTGCTTCCAAAAGGTCACAGCCTTGAAAGCTCTGTGGAGCAGTTGTACTCTGCAACACATGGGGTAAATCCATATCCAGAGTGTCTATTCCAGTAAGGACAAAAAGAACTGCCCCTTCCATGACGGAAGTGGTCCAATGCAATCAACTTGCCACCAGGTTGCTGGTTGATCACCTTGAGGGATGCTGCCATATCGGGGACTCAGTGCTAGTCTCTGCTGCTGGCACATTGAACACTCAGCAGTGGCTGTAGCCAAGCCTTGGTGAGTGGAAGTCCATGTTGCTGGACCTGTGCATAACCTTCATCCCTGCCACCATGGCCACTTTGTTCATGAGCCCATTGAGCAATGACAGGAGTGGCTGGGGAAAGAGGATGACTGATTTCCAGAGAATGCATCATCCTATTCACTTGATTGTCAAAATCATCCTCTGCTGAGGTCACCCTTTGGTGAGCATTCACATGAAACATAAATATCTTCACTTCTTTGGCCCATTCAGAGAGGTCTGTCCACATACCTCTTCCCCACACCTCCTTGTCTCCAATTTTCCAATCATGTTCCTTCTAAGTCCCTGACCATCCAGCCAAACCATTGATCACAGCCCGTGAATCAGTATACAATCGCACTTCTTGCCATTTCTCCTTCCAAGCAAAGTGAACAGCCAAATGTACTGCTCGAAGTTCTGCCCATTGGGAGGATTTCTGTTCATCATTGTCCTTCAGGGAGGTCCCAGAAAAGGGCTATAGTGCTGCTGCTGTCCACTTTCAAGGGGTCCCTGCATATTGTGCAGAACCAGCTGTAAACCAGGCATGAGTTTTCTCTTCTTCAGTCAACTCAACATGAGGAACTCCCAATGAGGCCATAGGTGCAGATGGAGAGATGGAAGGTAATGTGACAGGAGTGGAGACCATGGGCATTTGGGCCACTTCCTCATGCAGCTTACTTCTGCCTTCAGGTCCTGCTCAGGCCCGATCTTGTATATACCACTTCCCCTTAATGAAGGAGTGCTGCTGTGCACATCCAACTTTATGACTCTTTGGGTCGGACAACGACCAGCTCATGATGGGCAGCTCAGGACGCATGATGACTTGGTGTCCCATGGTTAAGCATTCAATCTTTACTAAGGCCCAGTAACAAGCCAAAAGTTGTTTCTGAAAAGGAGAGTAGTTATCTACAGAGGCTGGCAGGGTTTTGCTCCAAAATCCTAAGGGTCTGCACTGTGATTCTCTAACAGGGGCCTGCCAGAGACTCCAAACAGCATCTCTATCTGTCACTGACACTTCAAGCACCATTGGATCAGCTGGATCATATGGCCCAAGTGGCAGAGCAGCTTGCACAGCAGGCTGAACCTGTTGCAGAGTCTTCTCTTGTTCTGGGTCCCACTCAAAACTAGCAGCTTTTCAAGTCACTTTATAACTAGGTCAGAGTAGCACACCAAAATGAGGAATATGTTGCCTCCAAAATCCAAAGAGGCCCACTAGGCATTGTGCCTCCTTTTTAGTTGTGGAAGCAGCAAGATGCAATAATTTATCCTTCACTTTAGAAGGAATATCTTGACATGCCCCACACCACTGGACCCCTAGAAATTTCACTGAGGTGGAAGGTGCCTGAATTTTTATGGGATTAATTTCCTACCCTTTAGCACGCAAATGTTTTACCAATAAGTCCAGGGTCATTAACACTTGTTTCTTACTAGGTCCAATCAGCATAGTGTCATCAATG